ACTACCCCCCGATCTCGATCCTACGCCCCTACCCCGACACCAACCGGGATCCCCTTCCCTCGACATTCTCCCCCCCCACTGCGCGCTACCTTCTACCCCCCCATTTTAACCCTACCTAATACGCTACTACCCAATCAATCATAGATAGGATCGCTCTGCCCTCGATTTACTTCATTAGTCATTTATTCCTCATTCCTTATTTTTGTTTTTATTTTTTTTTCTCTTTTTCAAAATTCATTTGAAATTCTTGTAATTTGGAAACTTACTTTGGAAGTAATTAATTATTTTTTTGACATTTCTTTTTCAAAAATTGAAAATATTTTTAATTAATTCTTTTTCAAAAAATTTGAAAATACGTAGAATTAATTATTCTTTCTTGGCATTTCTTCCTCGAAATTCAAAAATTATTTTAGTTAATTCTTTTTTGAATTTTTTGTAATTCAAAAATATTTTAGAATTAATTAAATTCTTTTCTTTCTTGTAATCCGGAAATACGTAAGAATTAATTAATTTCTCTTGACATTTCTTTGAAATTGCGAGGATATGGGTCCTCGGCAGGCCTAAGGGGCCCCATGCAACAAATGTGCCCTCCCTAAGTGAAGGCGGGCCTAACAAATCGCCAGAGGCCCTAAGCTGAGAGCCAGTTTGTTGGGGAAACACAGGCCGAGCAGCAAGGAAATTCCACGGCCTTCTATGCTTTTCCGAAAGTGCAGGCCCTGGGGGAGATTTGCAGCCTCATACACAGACAGTTGAGGGGCCCAATGGAATGAGGCCCAGTAGCTGCACCAGAGGCGCAGCATCCTGGGGCCTACCGGAAGCTTCTGGACCCAGGCCCAGGCCAGCCAGGCTGCAAAGGCAGGTAGACTCTTTCCATATAGGAAAGAGCTTGCTGCCTGGAGCCTCATTCGGGCACTTGCATGCTGGCGGCAGCGCTGCTGGAGCTGAAGCTCATGGGCTGCTGCTAGCGCTGAGCGGCGAGGTGCAAGCATGTGCGGTCGTGCTGAGAGCAGGGCCATAGCCCAGCCTCCATAGCTGGCGGGCTTGGATGTACAGTGAGGCGCAGGGGTGGTCGTCGGGTGTGCAAAGGGAAGACTTGGGAGAGAGACGAGGGAGAGAGAGAGAGAGAAGGATGATGATGATGATGATGTGAGGGCACATTCCTGGTATTCGCGATGGTCTGCATGAGAGACATCTTCAAGTTAAGCTGCTGACATCAACAGTTGCATTGTCAATTACTAGGCTAGTAGTAGCTGTGTAGGGAGTAGGCTGGGCGCCGAGCGCCAAGTAGGGAGATAGAGACTGGATACATATGTTGGTGGTGGCGAGAGCAAGCTTTCATTGACATTGTGACTTTCAGTGCTACGATTCTCCATTAGTGTTATATTGGTGCAATGCTGCTTTCTGAACACTATGATACAATTTCGCTTTCAATGTGATTG